TTAAAGCACTCGAAAGCAAGTCTCGATTTTTTTTGTCGAATCGAATTCTATTATAAGAAAGGTGTATGGCATTAATGTTAATTATTCAAGAAAATTTTGTTAAAAGCTACGATGTGTAAAGGGGATCGATTGCTATATTATTGAGTACGTTAGCAGCTAAAACGAAAGCAATCATTCACCACAGGACAATGGAAACGTAGAAATCGCGAAGTGACAAAACGTCGATGAATCACAATTCTAATTTCGAACGTGCTGTAATTCACGAAGAAGCTATAATAAGACTATAGCACGCTGTCATCATATACTAATTGTAAGATTGATTGTATCCCACCGAAGATGAAGGGAAAATGAAAGAGAAGTTGGGGAGATGCATCAGAACGAGGATGCTGTTGGTATCGCGAAGAAGCAAAGCATTTTCTCGGCGAAAGGTGCTCTTATACGATCCGTAAATACAATAGAAAGCACTGGGGAATCTAGGATACCGGAGGAGGGTCCCGTTCGCGGCGGTGTTCCTCGCATTTGCGCCGAAGCCTGAATACCTACGAGCTCAGTATCCCTCTTTCCATTCTCTCTTTCGCCCGCATTCCCCCCTGCCGCGATCCCTGAAATTATGACAAAAATCTCCGACATCCGGCTCTTCAAGCGGAAAACCATTAAAATGGTCAGATGATCGATTCAGCTGTTGTACGTATAAGTCGATGACGTCAGAGAAAATCTATTCGAAATCTCTATATAAGAAAGATACATACTGTGCTTCTATTTATATACCATTTATATACCATGAAAATTTATATACCATTTTGAAAAAGTACCTGAAGAGCGATGTAGGGGAACGTCAGCTAAATATTATAATTAATACAATTTGAATACAATTAGCGGGATAGTCAAGCCTTTATCCTATTCGTGCAGTGTAGTCTGATAAATACGGGTAAACAGAAAAAATGTCAGGAATGCAAGTAAACTTGTATTTTGTAAATTATATGTGCATTAAAAAGCCGCTCATACGTAGCTTACGTCGACAGCAATTCAAGAGCCTCGGAAAATTATTATATTAATTGATACAATAAATGCAACTTGACATTTTTATTTTTATTTGATCTTTTCTTAGAAGAGTCAAGAGTCAAATAATCACTGTAAATCACACACATCGTAATTCATATCTTTATAACAACATAGTATCACTGTATGACTATGTGAAGCTAGTTTCCTACATGGTGTTCACATTTCCAATGATTATTATTTCTTCGCGTCCCTATTATTATTATTATCGGGAGAAAGTATACGAGAGATTATACGCCATCGGGCATCGTTCGACTGGCTCGTAACGTTTTCCGTTCCTATGTAAGGACAATTTACAAAAGAGCTATTTGAAAACCGAAGTCGCGTCTTAATTCCAAGCGATGCATCACGCGACACACGCACTCTCCCTCCACAGCAATTACGCTTTTACGATGCCTACGCGGGTAGTTGGGGGCTCTCTTCAAAACCATCCTTTTCCCCCTTTTACGAGCGCTCATTCGCATTCCCGTTTTCCCCGATGCCTGGACAAACGCCGCGGTCGCGGCTCTAATCGACGAATTATCGCGACGAGCTCGTACCTCAATAATGCAACGCGTCGTCTGGCGTCGTTCGTTACTCGGCACGAATTAACATTCTGACAATCCTCCGTCAGCGTGTTGATCGACGTCGCCGCTGTTTTCCTCGGCAGGCGGGGATTACCGCGGCGAAATGTAAAATGTAAAGTGCGTATTTTTCTCGCTGCAAAATTAATTTTCAGAGTACACTTCGATTAGTTCTTTTTCTCCTTTCTTCCGTTTCTCCTTCTTCATTTTTTCGGAACACGCGCGTTTCAAAACGCTGTAGAAAATTACACGAATGACAAGCTAAATGTGAAATGACTACATTTCTTTTTTTTTTATATAAATGCGAATATTGGGAAGAAACAAATTTTGCGTTGACTTTCTCCCGATTGTTTCTTTCTTCTCGTTTCGACGAGTACTTCTACGAGACAGAAGCAAAAAGAAACATATTCTTTGTAGGTGATACTTTTATTTTATTTCAAACATTGGATTACGAGAAATTACATTTTTCTACATAATTAATTCTTAAAGCCTTCTTTACTTCTTTTACCGGTTGAACACATCTTTGTTAATTTAAGTACTTTTCTTTTCAGTATTTTTTTTTTACTACAACGTGTTTTTAAGTTGTATTTACAAACTGTTAAGACGACATGGGCTTCAATGCGGCGTACGTTGCGCAATGGAACGGAATATGGCAAGGTGAATGCGTTTAAAAGTTCACTCCGTTAACGAAGTTACCAAGGATAAACGCGGTTACGCGAAATACCGGATTTGCGGAATCAAGTTCCGAGTGTAATCGGGCTTAATCGGTTTTCGTTATCGGTTACACTGGTCGTAAATGTTTCAAGCGACGAAATTACAGCGATGACGATTACGACGATAGACGGCTGTCGATATTACGCCCGGTATCTGCGCGCATCACATCGCTCCCGATATATTTATGCTAATCGATACGGCGAGAAATGGACTTAAGTGTCGTTCATGTCGAGGGTTAGTTACATCGCAACGTCGCAGCGCGGAATTGTATTGCATTGCGTCTGCATTTTACCGATACCGTCCATATCGGATATTAACTGTCTCTGCGCATGCGAGTATTGTTTTTTTGAAACATTTTTATATTAAATATTTTTATTTTTTCATTTTTTTTTAACAATTGAATTAGATGTTTGCTAAAATTTTATTCCGTCGTTCTCCACAAGAGGAAATTAATAAATGAAATGTTTTGGTTCGGTAAATATACTTATCAAAGAAATATTCAGGTCATCACAGAACTTTTCCTTTATAATCAAGGGTCCTGATTAATTGATTACTTCGACGCGACGCGACTGTATTACCAAAGTTTCAAGCTTCAATAAAATCTCGCAGAGTTCCAGATAAAACAATTTCTATATTTATAAGAGGAATGGGGTACATAAATAATATTTAATAAGACGGAGACCCGAGATTTAAAAGAAAAACGTTCTTTGATGTTTTTGAAATTATATATATATATATATATATATATATATATATATATATATATTGTTTAAATAGCATTGATTTCACTTTATTACTTGCACAGCGAGTTTATAAATCTGGAATACGCGTCAATGTGTACAGTAGCAATCTAGCAATCACATATCGTATCGATTTTTATATTAACAATATACTTAAAAAGAACAATCTTCAAACTTCGTCCTTCCTATTTTTCTCTCGAACCCACAGGCGGATTACTATTGAAACTGCACCACAATATGGGCGTTTGCCTCCCACCAAATGTGATCGGTTTCATTGTTCGCTTCTTCTCTGAAATTTTTTTTTTATGTTACCTTGACGAAATTACGACCGCGCGTGTTAACCTTGAGATCCGAACAAAAATCGTCCTCGATATCTTTGACCTGAGAAGAGAGCTGTGAATCATCAACGAAAATCGAAAGATCCACTTTATATCGGCGCGAATCTCAGCATTTCGAAGAGAAAGAAGCTTCTCCGAGACCGCTAAAGGCCACCACAGAAAAGCAATCGGTTTTTTGAATGGATAGTTTTGAACCATTTGAGCTTGAATCGTTTCTACTTCGAACCGGTCGACCGCGCAATTCCTACGAATCTGCGCCCGACTGCTAGTTTTGACGCATCGACGCGAATAAAGGATTTATTTTCGTCCTTCCCGTGAAAGTTCGCCGCGCCGAACCGAGGAAAAAGGAGCTATCGAAAATTCTCTTAGAAAACGCGGCAGTGAAAGCTCCTCGGCGCGTTATTTGCCAAGGTTTCTCGCCGCCGGGTAGTTTCTCCGGTTCGTATTATTATAGCAAATGCGAATCTCCCCATGCAAAAAAGTGGAGTGGAGAGAACACAGCGCGTGCGGCGTATATAGCGCGATCGACAAGTTGCCGCGCGGATAGAAATCGATTTAACTGTAATTGCCGGGCGTCGTTATCCGGCGCGCTGCGCCGTTATCCTCGTAATCGATGTACATACATACGTTGACACGGCAGAAAGGATCCATCCGGTTATCTCGCCCCAATAAAATCGTCTAAATCTCTTACACCTCTTTCCCGAATTTAGAAACCTATATACATTTAATCCGGTAATAAAGTGAAAATACGTAGCACGACTATTAAGGTGAGATTTCTTGAACTCGAACTAATCTAAGAGCTGAAATCGTGACATGACATTTTTAAAATATTTTAGATTAGATTTCTATTGGAATATACCAATAAAATTGGTATAATTAAATACCATTTTAAAACTGTTTTTATTAAAAAGACATAGCAGTGGGGAAAATAACGCTACGTTTATGGTACTTAGGGTTTGTCATATACGCTTCTATAACGTCAGACTCATCAGCAAAGGAATTATTTATTACGTGAGCAAGCAAGAACTCTGAGTTTCTGCATATACAAGTAATAAAATGAAACGTAACATTTCAGAAATGTATGAGACAGATTATTTTCATACGGGCGATAAATAAAGAGTGGTAATGATAATCGATGGAAATGAAAATTAAAAGGACTCGAACGTTCTTGAAATCGCCAATCTTTATGTCAATTCTCTGATATAATTCCGTTAAGTTTGTGCTGCGGTTGCTGTGGGAACGTATAAACGAAACGCGACCTTCCCCATATCTCATCGAAAATTGATTCCGAAAATCCTAGCGGTTTCAGGTCCCCCGTTAATACCCCATACTGACGGGACTAATGCAAATATTTCCTACGAGCATCGGCTATCATTTCTATCATCGCTCAACTCAAAATGAACACATTTGTTCGGCCCCAATCGTGCTCGTCGATCTAATATACCGCTGACCGTTATCACTGTTCGAACATGCGACGAGTTGCTCGTCATATCGCACGTCAATCTTGGTTTGCGTGCTAATCGATTTGATTATGACACTCCAGAACGTGTGTAATAAAACGTGCGTTTTTGTTATTTGTGTTTCAGGTGAGGCGAATCGCTGGCTAAAGGAGGAAATCGTTCCCGAGAACTTAGTTTATGCGCGGGTATTACGGAGGGAGGAACGAGCCGTCCCTCAAGTCTAATCCTGAGCCAGGGGTTCGAATACTTACTTAGTAAGTAATAAAAATGAGCAATCGTCCGTCAAGATCTCTAAGAAGATATATGAGACTACTCTACGTAAAAAAAATCTCCTAAGTAAAATAAAGATAAAATTAAGAAAAAGCGGAAGAGCTTTGTTTGAAATTTTGTGTTGAATAATTAGAAGCCTAAAAGTTCTTCTTGAGTTATTTAGAAATTACATAAACCGTGGGGACCAAATTTGTACTTTTAAACTTTTGCTTAAAACATTTTGCATTCCATGAACTAATCTAAACTAAATAAAAGTTGCAATATACGCTTTCCATACATTAGTCGAGCAAAAAAAAATTTTTTTGTAGGGTTCAGCGTTCTCCGTAGAGTATCAGTAACAGTACGAAAAGCGATATGCTCTTGAAGCGTAAACATTCTATCAGAATGAAGAATAAAGAAAGAACGATAGCGCGATAAACATTCACGCATGGTTATCCTATCCGATACGCGATGGGGCTTCTTTCCTTCCTTCGGTGACGGTAAACTTCCTGCCAGCCCGATACCGGTGTGACAATGACCGGTTGGGCTATATCTGCAGCGAACGCATGTCCCACTGCAAGCTCAAATACGCGCGAATTCATGTAAAAAACGTTTAGATGCACTGTTTATATTACATGCTTCGATATAATTTCCTTTTTATTCTAGCGTATAACGATTCGTCGAAATAAATTTCGTTTCATGAAACAAATTTTTATCAAAACGCAAACATATTTGAACATGAAGAAATTCTCCCTTTCCTTATATGTTTCTTTTATATATACCAGATAAAAAACCATCAGATATCTAAGGAGCGATAATGATAAATTTTGTCGTGAAGCCCTTAAAAAGTTGTACATTCTAAAACCGATGACTAGTCTCTTTTTACGCCTCTTGAAATTTCGTGAAAACCGATAAGGTGTCCTTGCGCCGACTCCCTTGACACGAGTTCTTCCGACGTTGCAGACATTGGCGGGACGCAAGAGGAAGAGAGGGTGGGCGACGAGAGTACGGTGAACCGGAAGCGTACGCGACGGTGGCCGGCTCGGTCGAGGAGGAGTTCGCGGCGGCGCCTGGGCCGCGCATGCTTCAACAACGAGGCTGTATAGCAACAGCAACGACACCCGCATCCGCTACGACGGCCAGCTCAGCATCATCTTCTTCATCTTCATCGTCCAACATGTTCCCACAACAGTACTGCCTGAGATGGAAGTACCATCACAGCAACCTGCAAACCATGTTCTCGCAGTTGCTCGAGCGGCAGGCCTACTGCGACGTCACGCTCGCCTGCGAAGGCAAAACGTTGCGAGCACACAAGGTAAACAGACCAGAGATCATCGCGATAATGACGCGCCGTCAATGAGGCGCTTTCTCATATCCCATGTGCATTGCTTGAAAACTCACGGCGCGGCGGTCGTCACGACTCGAAATTATTCACGTTTTTGAATTTGTTACGCTTGAAAACCAGGAAAATAAAGAGAGATAATATATATGGAAAAAATTATAGATTTTTGTCTTTTCTGAATAGTCTCTGTCATTAATAATCTTCATCAACTTCAGAATTGATGATAAATTTTTTTTGTAATTAAAAAAATCTGAACACATTGAAGCTACACCGCACTTTTCAGATATGCGTTTCTTGCAAGAAAATAAAGATTAGCTTGCATAATCTCTTTGAATAATCTAATCGTCTCTTGGTCTATTAAGATTAACTCGTAACACGGATATCTTGATATCGTACGCGTGCTCGATTGCTGTATGTAAACATGAATAGATGCATTAATACGCTGATTAGTAATTCGCTGTGACGATAAGCATCAATCGGAAACATGTAGCACAGAACCGCGTTTGATATGAAAGTCGACGATATAAGAAGTCCTATCGCGAAATAGAGAAATTAGTCGCGAGTGATTCAGGATACGCGGAAACTCGATTTCCGGAATTTTGCTGTAACGTGAAATTGGATTTATGACTGAAACTCGATAAGTGGAATTTCACAATTCGATTTACGGGAAATATATAATAAAATTGCCATTTTCCTCGATATTTCATCTCGAATCCGGCTCGAAACGAGCTCAGGTCCCTCGCTGCATTGTGAGAGTTATCTTGTCAATTTTCAATTAAAATAATCGAGTCGATATAAGCTCCGCGGCAGCTACGGTACTTGCGTGTATACGCGACCGAAACGAACTTGGTCGTCGCTAATTAGAGCTCCGTCCTTGTGACTTCGTCTCTTGTCAAAACACGGTTATCGTGAAATGCCTAATACAGTTTTCGGTAACCCGAGGGAAAGACTAAATTGTAACTACGCGCTGCCAACACCGCGCCGTCTCGAAATCTTGTTTTTACTCGGAATTCCATTTCGAGCGCATCGCGAAATGACGGTTTCATCATATACGTACACACACACACATACACGCGCGCGAGCGTACAAGGTGACTCAGGTAGTCGGCCGTTATTTTCCCTCGGAGAAGAGCACTTCTCGAAATTACCGAAACTATTTCGAAAATGCTGCCCGGCCAAATGTATCGTGGTATATCGAGCTTCGCCTCAAAAAGACTACAATTTTGAAAAGTGCCATTCTCCGCAAATTAACTGAATGTTCCCCCGAGCATCTCCCTTCTAAATCGCGTCTATGATGTCTTTGATGCAGATGATATCCCAGCTCCCCAGCAGTATATGATTTTTTTCATCCGCAATATTCTTGGGCTATCATGGAGGGAAATTTAAAAAAGAGACAATTGAAGTTATTATCTTTGACCAACGTAATCGTCGAACTACAATTTGTTTCAATAGTAGTAATATGAACTGAGTCAATAACTCTATACGTCCCTAAGTCCAACAATAGGACTCTAACAATGCGTCATCACTGTTCTATAGTATGTTTGTGTTTTGCATGTGTGTATTGTATGCTCGATGTATTTCTTTGTTTATTTAATAAAATCAATAAACAGGCTCAAGTCGCGTGTTAGCTACTATTAGAGCTTATCGGAGATTAGCTCTTTTCCAATTTTTAGGCCAATATTCGTAACCCAAAAATACGGTCTTGAGATACGATCGTATAGGTCATTGGCTTAATGGATTCTTAAGATCACTTAAGATCACTATTTTATCTTGAAATTTGGCTGCAAATAAACACTCTTAAAGCATAAAGATATCGATGTCAGACTCTGTCTGTCGCAACCACTTCTCCGAAATCATTTACTCCTAGATTACATTTTGCAATAAGAATAACTCCGTGTTGCATAACTATGCTCAATTGTTTCCAATAGAACGATTTGTGCTTCACATTCATCTGATATATCAATCAGATACGCCCACTATTGCAACCAGTCATTCGAATTACGGCTAGGGAACCTCGATAACTTGCTTACATCGATGAGAATCACGGTGTCCAAACCCTCCCGTAAACCAGAAATCTCGCCGGCGCGTTATCTCGCCGTCGCTAATTATAGATGCGCAATCAGATCGCTCGGGTGGTGAGATCATCAAAAGTTGGTTTGACACGTGACGCGGAGTATCCGCGCGTATATGTATGTATGTGTATGGGTCAAACGAGAAAACCGTGGGGGAACCGTGGTAAGGGTAGTACCGCCGCGATCACCATTACTCCATCCCTCTTCTTCCTGTCCGACCCGATGGAGACGACCCGACTCCTGATAATTGGATTCTATTCCCAGCCAAAAAACCCGGACGATCTGTAGCAGACGACGAATGCAATCCCGTCCGCGGACCCGGTCTCTTGCTCTTTTTTCGCGTACACGTGTCTCTCGTTCGCTCCCCTATCTTTCTCCCCTTCCTGCTGGCTCCGTACCTGTCTCTCCCTCCTCTATCTCCCTCTCTCTCTCTTCCCAGCCGCTTTCGCGTTTTTCTGTGTGCTCCGTGGTTCTTTTCCCATAGCGCGCCGTGCAGAATTTCCTCGATTCGTCTTATTGTACGTCGCGACGAGAAAAAAAGAGAGAGAGGGAAGAAGGGAGAGAGAAGTACGTCGACGATACGAAGGACAAAGACCGAGAAATAGAAGTAGAGGGGGTAAAAGGAGATGCAGGAGTTGGAGGAGGAAGGATGAGAGAGAGAGAGAGGAGACGGACGGACGGACGAGCTTCGCCGCCTGCCTCGTAGAAACATAAAACTTAACAAACGATCAATTTTCTGTTCTTTGTTTCTTACCGGGGTGGAACTACGGCATTTCGCCACTCTCTTTCCTCCCCGTTCCCTTCGCCCGTCGGCCTCCTTTCCTCCCTCTTTATTACCCCCTTCCTCTGCCGCTCCCGCGTGCGCTTCCACCCTGTTTCTTCCCCTCGTCGGTTCCCTCTTCCTCGTTCCCTGCTGTCGCCCCCTGCTCTCCTCCTTCTCCTCCTTCACCTCCTTCACCTCCTTTACCTCCTCCGCCGTCTCCTCCTGCTCTGTTTCATTCCTCGCGTCTCCCTCTTTTTCTCTCTCCGGCGGCGGCCTGTGCGTCGAAACGAGCCGCGCAGAGGAGAGGCACTCTATCAAAGTAGAGTACGTTCGGCTTGGTTTATTTTTTACTTTGGGAGGGGTCCAAATTGTAAAATCAATACTTCCTCCTAAATTTAGAATGCCGCCGACGCCGACGCCGCCGCCGTCGCCGTCGCCGCCGATCCTGCCGGCACAACGCGCGCGGGCTTTTTCATTTCTTTCTCCCGTAAACGCGCGTCGCGACGGCTCATCTAACTCCCGGTGCTCGTTTGCCGGCGTCTCGTCCCCCTTTTCCGCCGCCGGCAAAAGCTGACCAGCTGGCCGGCTCCCGCCGTGCCTCCGGCGATGCCGCGGCCGCCGGCGCAGTCTCTCACGGCAGGCGATAACATCGTTTTAATTAAAGTATTAATATTTAGAGTAATATGAGATGAGCTCGTTTAAACTTAGACATATATATATATACATAAGTATTTTAGTCAGTTAAATACATTTTTGGCTATCTAGAATTTAAATACCCTTTTTATATAGCGAAATATTCGTAGCTACGTGGCTCGGAATATTGAGAATAAAATACTCTCTTCCATATTTCCCTTTGAAATTGGTAGACACGTAAGAAGAAAAGGAAGAGTGCCTTTATACTTCGTACATTTTTGAATATGCGAAAATTGCGAAGACATGCAAATCACAGGAGAATTATTCGAAGACTCAGAAATTGCTTCTATATAAAGCAGAATATATATGAAAGAAAAAAATTTCTTTAGTCGCGCGCGAAATTAACTTGATATGACTACCTGAGAACTGAAGTATATGGGATGCTAACGTATATCGCATAGCTCTCGAGATGCCGGGGCGACGGCGACGAAAACGAAAGGGACTGTCGAGTCGAGACGACAGAAGTTCAACACGGCAAGCGTCGAAGGGAAAGGGAAAAGGAAAGGGAAAGGGAAAGGAAAAGGGAAAGGGAAAGAGGAATGAACGGGCGGGAGGCTTTGTGGACAGCTGTTTCCTCGTCTAGCACCACCTGCACCCAGTTCGCTTGTGCGTGCGAGACACATTTCATGAAAAGAAAGAGATGGTCACAGGAAAAGCTCGACCCTCGATGACGTGGCTTTTTCGAGGTCTTTTCCCCTCTATCTCTACGACTTATGAACTATCTAGGTCGATAACCTCATTTAACTAACTTTGGTCCAACGATTGCTTTACCCTTTCCTGGTAAACAACTGCGCGCGTGGCGCTAGAGAAAGAGAATTCCGTCGAACCACCTAACTGAGAATTCAGAGAACCGTCTGTTGCGCATCGACAGTTTTAATTAACTAACTGAACTAACAGTTTTACTCCTGGATCAATTTTAGTTGTAACTTGAGAAGAAGAAAAGATGTAGTTAATTTTTCAGTGTCATACACACATGCAATGCGATTATTTATATATTATATTAAATTATAAATTATATTCTTTTGCATACCACAATTACAAATATTTCGATATTATTACTTGCACATATTTGTCTCTTTATTACCTATCTTGTTAAAATTAGTTATTAACAATCTCGTCCAGTTGTTTCCTGTTACTCGTGGCTCGAGCTATAATGAGCGGGGGAAAAAAGATTTAGTGCACCCATTATCGATGTGCGACCGGTTTTTACTTGTTAACAAGTACGCGGTGAGACGAATAAACCCGACGTGGTTGTAGCTAGCTCGAGGAAAAAGATTCGCATTAGGAGAACGATATATACACGGCTGAAACCATGGCCGCTATATCGCAGACGCAGAGCCTTATTTCGAGTGGCACGAAAAAAGGCTCCGCCGTGAAACTTTCGTAATATCGAGCGATCCGGAACTTTCGAAAGAAGATTCGTCCGTCCGCGCGTCGACTCCTTTC